TTAATATTATTATTTTTTACGCTTAATAACATATAGTTATATTCTTTTACAGTTGTATGTTAAATAAGTAATAACAAAGAATATAAATTACCATTAAATTTAATATTTTCTTACGCGAGGCATACCAACAAAACGTCGACATTTAAACTGTTTTTATTTTAAGAATACTTAACAATATAATCAATGAAAAATACATGTAATTACTTTTATAAAGAACAACACATACAGTAATTTAAAAACAAATGTACTTTAAAGAAACTAATTAAAAGTTTTAATAAAAGATTCTGTTGATTTTATTTCCGTTTAAATTAAAAAAAAAAAAAAAAAAAAAACCATAAAAATATTGGCGTCCATAGCACTTCCATTTTATTTTTTTAAATATATTTCATATATGTGTAGTACATTAGAATTTGTTAATTCCAAGAGTACTGTGAATGACATTAACCACAGAATGTGGTCGTTGTAAAAATAAATTTATTAACCGTTCAAGAAAGACATTAAAGAGAGAAAACATGCAAATGCTGCATGAACCCTCCTTTAATAAATATTAATAAAATAAGTACTTATTAATTCTACCGATTTGATGATGACGATCCCCGGTTGCATCGGTGTACCGCCTTTCGCCACCGTGCCACCACACGTATTATTATATTATTATATTATACGTAGTTTAATTAATGCGGTCTGATTTATGGGCCTTATGAATTATTTAGAGTGCACCAGACCGACACCACACTTCATAACAAGTCCTTCTCCCCTTGGAGCATACACCCAAAACGCGATAATAATAATCGAGTTTTTCGGTTAGGACCTCGTATAGAAAAGCTCAAAGAAACGGTCATGTGTTTCATTATCTCACGGATATCGGGGTGGCTGCAAAGTAAAACGAAAAACAAATAACCCTCTATTAGTACACGTGACGATCTATATTTTATTAATTGAAGAATTAAGCCCCGAGTGTCGAGACATGGTACAGAGAACGCTATCTACCTCTAAAATATAAAATTCAAAAAATTATTAAATACTATAAACATTACAAAACTTATCACATACTTTTTTATTAAACTCTATTAAATTTAATTCATTTTACTCAACTTTGTTTAACGTGACTTACATTTAGGCATAGATAATAATTAAATATTTTCTATGTACCTGTCAACTACGAATACATTTTATAAAAACCATTAAACTATAAATTCTGAAACATAGAAATAAACACAATATACTCGTAATGTAAAGTTCCAAATAAACCATCTTAATTATTTTTAATATATTGTATATTATTAACCTAAATATATATTTTTTAACACTAAATATTAATAATCTTAATAATTCTATCAGTAAAAATTAAATTCTTGTTCGATTCTGTTACTTAAACCTTCATTGTTTATTATAGTTTTAAATGTACTGTCAAAATAGTAGGAAATTTACTTTAAATTAGAACGTAAACGTGAATATAACAACTATTTTTAAGTTAAAACTTTTTATAATTAATGATAAATAAAATTCATAAAACAAAAATTAACTAACTTTAAAATTTAGAATTCGGTAATAACCGCTGATACGTTAACGTATCGTTAACGTAATACGTATAACGATGCTATATTATGTTTGATACACTGGTTTGCGCTCGGTAATTACTAATCAATGTCTTATTACTCATTAGTCAAATCAGTCATATTTTATTTTTTTATATTAACTATTTATCTCAATTATATAAAGACTATTTTAACATTCAACATTTATCACGATTTATTTAAATCCTGTCGTATTCCGACAAAAACATCAGATATTCTTTTTATTTATAAAATGTCATAATATTATAAAAAGTTAATCTTAATATTTTCCATTCGATATTCATTAAAAAATAAAAATAAAATTATGATATTTTGTAAATAAAATGTAATTTTTGTAAATTTGGGGCTCTTTTAATCCCAAGGCTCTGGCCTGGGACCTTCAGGCCCACGCCTTAAGACGGCACTGCTAATATCTAATAAGTATTATTTTAGTTCCAGCGAATGGGTTGATTTTAACTGGAAGCTTACCCACATTCCATTCCTATTGTACAACAAACGCAAGGTACTGAGAATGTATTACTATAGGGTATTGCATCATCATTTTTAACGGGGAAAATATTAATTATACACTTATAATGAACATAACAAAAATAAAATAAAATATAATTACAATATTAAATAATTGCACTTGAGCTTACTTTTATTTCGACTTGTGATCTGAAAAAAATTTCATTACCGTTAAATGCATATGCGATCGATTAATGCAATTTTCATTACATCTACTTTCTGTAATAGTTTTCACATACCGGATACGGATATTACGGATACAAAAAGAACAATAACTAAAAACAACGACCAGACGATCAACGAACCATCAAAACCCCGTCCTATGGGAACCATGTCCTTTTGCGCCATTAAAAATGTATACGGAACTAATGGGATGGACGGAGATGATCGCATGAATAGTGCAACACGTCAATTGTTTTTTTTTTTTTGTGCTTCACTACACTCAAAATATGTTGTTTTCGGCATTACCGGATGTCCAACGTTTTTAGCGTTTCCCCCAGAATCAATTGCAATACACAACGTGTTTAATAACATACAGAGAAGTAGAAACAAAAACACATTCAATTCCACTAATTTTAACTATACCTCCCAATGTATAGTCAGCTAATGTATAACATTCTTATAAAAAGTAATTATGAGTAATATTATAATAAATTGTTATGCTTACAATGTATTACACTAAACAATGCGTATCGTTTAATTTCATATATTATGAATACGTAACCAGTTATTTTATTTTTATTATTCTTTCAATAATAACGGAAACTATTGTCATAGATTTATATAATTGACAAATCGTGTTATTGTCGTATTATGTTCACTCACGGAAAAAAATGTAAATATTAAATATATATATATATATAATTTCACTTGACTGTTAAAACAATAATAATTCAAAAAGTGTAAGATATTTAGTTGATACTGTAATCAATAATATATTTAGTTACACCAGATAGATTATTTATTCAATTTTAATTTAAAAAAATATATATATATAAATAGACGAATTTAAATTATTTAAATTTTTTTAGTATTTCTGAATAGTATAAAATTAAAAATATATAGCTCATGAAATGATTTACTTACTGTTAATCCTAGAGGTCACGCAATAGAGTACATAGACATTATTCAAAGGAAGCTTATCATTTAAAATTATTCAATATTCTTCTAAATGTTTATTATTTTTTTAAAGATTCATTATTTCATATTTTTAACTGTTGTTTTATTTTAACAATTAATGGCAATAAAAAAATTTCCATATTCTATTAAAAGTAAACACTAGTGTTTTAAATTATTACTGATTTTTTAAATTAACTAAAATAGTGTAGGCGGTAAAAATGAAATATCAATTATTTAATAATAAAACTCTAACTATACCTATTTGAAGATCATGAGTACATTCATAAATGTTTAAATGGGAAAAAAAGACTAGATAAAATTGAAATAAAAAATGACGTTGCTCACAATATTTATACATCACTAATAATAAAGTAAAATCATTAGACATTATACATTATTTATTTCCAAAACATAAATAATATTTTATAGTTAATTTTTTTACAAATTTTCTCGAATTTTGAAACTTAAAAGATCTGTGACATAACCATTTTCACGCTCTTACTATAGTTTTATATATAATGGAACTTTTTCTATAAAACCAATAAAGAGACAGTTGATTTAGTATACGTGTAATCAAAACAAAAACCTCCAGACACATTTTCTAAACTGATGTATCTATAATTAAGTAACATTTTGAAGTTGTAGTGTAATGAAAACCATTCAATGATGATAATAAATATGGTTTCTCATTTAGAAGTTGGAACCCCCGTAGGGCCCCGAGGGCAAGGGACCGAAAGTTTGTCAATATCAAATGATAGTTATTGAAGATACGCCGCACTAACCATTAAAATACGTATAAAGTATAGTATCATCCCTCTACCGAGATTTCATTGGTAGCAACGATGTTATTATTAAAGTATGTTTTATATATAAGTATATATGATGTACAACCATCCATATAGATGCATTAAACACATTCATGTATAAAAAATACGAATCTTATAACAACAAAAAAAAATAGTTCAATATTATATAAATTCGTAAGACACTGAAGTCGATAAAAAAATATTAATCTACATTCTTGTGTAACACAGTACAAGTAAATGTATACAGTTTTTTTGTGAAGCCTGCTTATCGCACAAAACAGTCGATTATAAAATTAAATATTATGAACCGCTCATAATAGTATTATGATAATTACGTTGAATGGAATACGTATCCGAGTAAAGTAAATCGAAGTTTATTACGCAAATTTTAATGACACACACATAAAGTTTGTAATAGTAATTTTTGTACCGTGGTAGTGCGTTTACAAAGCCGTTAATCAATCAGCGTGTCATAAACATATCACTCGTTTGCACAGAATACGCGGGAAATCGCTAGAAAACTAACCAGTTCCACGCCGTAACAAGACTACAAACGATGCGGCGGGAAAATTATGTCTAAATTATAAGGATATGAAAATATTATGCGTATGCAGGGACACATAGACGCCACCAGGTTTCACTACAAAAGCTACTTCGATTTCCTCGTGACGATATAATACATTTTTAAATATTGGCTGTGATGAAAAATTGTTTAAAACGAAAATGTTTAAAATTAAAAAATGTCGGATCGGGAAACAAACATTTTCTACGACCGAAAATAAAATCGCTGCAGGGGAAGCGTGGGATATAATAATTTTTGCGCTGCAAGGTCGTACTGAACGCGACGAGCGTAATGACATGATCGATTGTTATTTCCAGGCGAGTTCGGGATAAGACGTAATCTTAGCGGCTCGCAAACCCCTCGTAACAAAACCCCCCGAACCACGGGATTCGCACCGGAACGGATAAAAGTTAAAAACACGTCACTGACCTCAAGAAGAACGCTGCGGCGGCCGACGAAGTCTTCGTGTCCTGCGGCGCGAGAGAGGACGACAGCCCGTACCGGAGCCCGTAACGGGCGTCCGCGTTGGCGGCCGAGGCGGTCGCGGCGTACATGCCGTACCGTCGGGCTCGGTACTCGGCGGCGGCGACGGCGGTGGTGGTCGCGTCGTCCACGCGGACGGTGGCCGGCGAGTTGGGCTGGCGAGCGCGTCGAAAGCGGCCGGACTGTTCGTCTCCGGCGGCGGAGGCGGCGAACACCGCGTGCAAGTCGTCCGTTCGGTGCGTCCGAGCGCGGGCGGACTGTTCCGGGTTTGAAGCACCACTACTACTACGGTTGCGGCCGCCTCCGTTCAGCGACGACGGAACGACGGCGGCGGCGGTGGCGGTGGCGGTGGCGGTGGCAGCGATCCGGCTGCGGCGGCAACGACGGCGGTCTTCCCCTTCCACGTCGGACTGCTGCTGCTGCTGCTGCTGCTGCTGCTGCCGTGGACCGAAAACAAAAACAAACACACGTGATTCGAAGGGTCGTCGTCGTCGGCGGAGAGGGCGAGAGAAAGCGCCCCCCCCCGCACCGCGCGTATTCAACAACAACAACAATAATAGTCTCGCGCGTCTTTTGGTCTTCGGACGCGCGGCCGCGCTTCCGGCGGCGGCGCACGCGGCACCGCGTCATCAGCGGCCAACAATACCGAATGCGGCGGACGCGCGAGAAATCGTAATTCATCGCGACGTGTTACGACGACCGTACAATATCGCCGGTGCGCGCGCGTGCTGTCGACGTACCGTGGTTGTTAAGAGCTGGTTAAAACCCGGTCGCCAAAATTGTGCAAATACGATGGCGGTACGTTCACCGCACAAATGACACACATTACGGACGTGCGTGTACGATGCTCGGCGATTATTTTATTCCATTTTTACGATGTTTAATTATTTTAACAGCGAAAACTAAATTTTATTATCAGACTACTACTAACTAATACGAACTACGGTTAACTAATGCTAGGATAATTATAATTATATTTAATTACTGCTAAATAAAGCGTACACTTAATTACTAGTTGATAATAATTTATTTCATTTTACTTAACGTACAACTAAATGTTATGTTCAAACTATAACTAGCTAGTATTAGCTATATCTAAAATATTCTAACTATATTTAATTACTGCTAAATAAACCTTACAATAAATTTTAAGGTATAAACTATCTGTTTAATTTAACTTAACTTGTTAAAAAACAAAATTTTATTATTAAACTACTGCCAACTAATATGAACTGCAGTTAACTAAGGCTAAATAATTATAATTATATTTAATTACTGCTAAATAAATCGTACACTTAATTAATAGTTAATAATAATTTATTTAATTTGACTTAAAACTAAACGCTATGATCAAACTATAATTAGCTAATGTTAACTATACAATTAAATATATTTAAGATATTCTAACTATATTTAATTACTGTTAAACAAATCGTAGACTTATTACTAATTATAATATATAATTATTATTACTAATTTCTCAAAAAACAAGAATACTGGGCCTCACTGAGGCCCTCGTGTGTAGGCCCAAGAATCTAATCTATAACATACTCATTCAATATAGATTATCAATAATCTGTAAAATCTGAGAATTAAACTAATAGCTAATTGATTACACAAACTGAAGACTAACGTATATTACACAATACTTAAGAAACGAACAGCATTTTTAAACTATATTACACAGTACATTAAAGAAACTTAAAACTTATAAGCTTAAACTCAGAAAATGATAGTAAAAATCAAAATTGGATTACTGTTAAAATATTATATATAATTTCATTACAAAAGACCTGTGAAATTAGTATTTACTGACCAATGTGTTATATTTCTATTAAAATTAAAACCGATAATAATTTATTTAATTTTACTTAACAATTAACTATTAACTAAAACAATGTTATTATACGACCGTGATACAACTTGATCATGTGCTCTTCATCATAGTTTGTACGTCCTTTTTTGATTTAACCATAATAGATTCATATTCAATCGCCCTCTTGTCTTGATGATTAAATACGTAAAAAAAAAATCGAAAAAACATAAAATTGACTCACTTACTAATATTAAATATTTATACTGTCAAAAAACGCAATGAACTAATATTATTTCGTTTTGTTGATTTGTGTAACACAATAATCAGTTTAATTTCGACCAGCATATTTTTTATAATACATATTAGTGATAAATTATATCTGTTATACCTGTTACGCTCGTATACAAATAGCACGACTAATTTTTAACAATGTAAATATACCTTGGATCTCGTCAGTGAAGTACCTTGGCTTGATATTGGATAAACGGCTAACTTGGCAGCCCCATATCTCTTCCAAACTTCAACAGGCATATCAGCGCCTTTCTATGTTATACCCTATCCTCAATAAAAAATCTTCAATACAGAAAAAATGCTCTCTTCTTATATACAAGCAAATCTTACGTCCAATACTCACTTACGCATGTCCGGCCTGGGGGAAATGCGCGACCACCCACATCAGAAAAATTCAAATTTTTCAAAATAAAGTGCTACGCATTATTGCAAACGCACCTTGGTTTATAATGAACGTAAACCTACATAAAGATTTTCAGGTCCAGGAAATCGTAGACCACATAAAAACGTCTTCAAAAAACTTCCATACCTCTCTGCTCAACTCTTCTGGCTCACTTCACTATAACCTCCACGTACATTCGTCTCAACGTAGATTAAAACGTGAACGTCCGCATGACCTCCTGGTTTACCACCATACACAATACATTGCTAATATATAAGCTTAACTTGTATATATTATTCTATATATTTTATATTATGTTATCTTATACTTATTCTTAATTATTATTGTATCAGTCACTGTTACTTAATTATAGTCAGCTACGACTCAGCGTAACTACTACCAATGTTATTATTATGTTATTATATTCAATATTGTACATACATACGAGTAGTATATATTAGTTAGTAATTATATCTTATTAATTATTTTATTCTTAATATTCTAATTAATTATCATGTTAAAATTGTTAAAAATTGTACTATTGTAATCATCAATAGATGTAGATAGCCAAGGCTAGGAACATCTTATTTAAAAATAAAAAAAAAAAATAAAAAAAAAAATAGCACGAAAATACATAAAATTCTAAACGAATTAAATCCATTATTCGGTCTATACAATGATATCTAAATAATTAAAAATAATACAAAAAACCATTCGCGGAATTTTGTGTGCTTCAGCCCCCCTCCTCCTTAAATCCACCACCGATTCGTTTTATCGTGCTGGTACGTGCATATATTGTTATAGGTACTTGAGAATATATAACATTAAGCGTCGCTAGAACGGTGCAAATGGGTGCACTTGCATCCCCTGGATTTAAAAAAATAATAATAAAATTTAAAAATGTAGTATAGAGGCTATTGTTATCGTTATCAGATTTTCTAGTAACCATTACTTTGTAGCAGTCGGAAAAAACGAAAATAATTTTGCGCTGTCATACAATTCGAAAACATAGTTAACTGAAATAATTTAAGCATTGTTTAGAAATCAGCGTATGTATTACTGCGCACGATGCACCACCCTGACGAAATTCTTGGCGACGCGTACGCGCGAGCCGATTGAACGCTCCGTCCAAAAACGCATAACGCACGGTTTTTGAATCGTACGTTTCGTTATTGACAGCGGTCCGCTAACAACTACGTTACATCGAAATGTCGCCGGGCCCCGCCTTACGTCCAGTGGCTATTTTTGTGCGCGCTACGGCACATTTTGTGCTCCGCGAGAATAAAAATGTGCACCACCTTTACACAGTACTATCACATTCTGCGACCAATGTGAGAAATACATTTTTATTTTTTAAAAAAATCAAAATAAGTTATGTGTTTATTACAAAAGAAAATCTCGTTGGTCCTTTACTATCGCTTCAGCGGATTCACGTTCATCTTTTATTTTCGATTGTAACTAAACGCAAACTCGAATACGTGCATTACGGGGAAAAAAAAAAAAAACAGGCACTGCTTGACACTTCGCTGTCGGAGCATTGTGCAGGTGCGTTGCGGTAACACGCGCGGCATGTGTGCGGATGGCGCACGAGCGTTCGAGTGCGGCCGCGGCAGCGGTACAGCGGTCGGAGCGCGTGTAAACGATTCGTTCCGTGTTGCGATGCGTCGCGAGACGACGTGTAATCCGACGACGACGCGCGTCTAACCGCCTGTTAGCGTTCGACGACGGACCACCTATGCGGAACATATTTCAACGTTACCCGCGCGTTCGGGTCGGCACTTCCGTAACATCTGTACGGCTACTAAACGTCCGACGCGTCGAACGCGTACAACGCGGGTCTTGTTCGAACGGGCCAGGATCGGGTAGTAGGAAAAATCAAAAGTTGACTTTACGAACACGGGCACCTGACAAAAATATAATTTTCAAATTATTGAATTTCTACCGAGTATTTGACCGTCTGACGGACCGTGGTCGAAATTACTAAAATATAGTGTAAGATAAAAACTGTTCGTTGGTTTTATACTTTGTGGCCTTAAATTTATAATGATAGAAAACGCTATGACATGTTTTCAATAAAAATAAAAATATTTCTGTACATTATTAAACGGTAATTTTTACTAATAACTGTTTTTTTTTTTTTTTTTTATGTCTCCCCTGACGAGCCGCCCCTGGTCGTCATACGTGCGACGCTTCCGAGCGCGCCGGCTCACTGGGTTAACGGGAGTTCGTCCGAACGAATTTCGAAAACGGTTTGTCGGTCGCGGTCACGTCACGCGGTAGTACGCGTTGTCGTGTTAAAACGCTGCGTGCCCCCTCGACAGCATTCATCGATTACCTTTGCGACAAAGCATTGCGGACTGACATCGTTGAAAACGATATTTTAGAGGGAAAAAAAATATTATTTATAAATTGTCGTGCGATAGTAAAATTGCGTGCTATTACCATCAACATGTACATTTCAATCGTACTGTTGTAATACTGTCCGAGGTAAAATCGCGATAGCGACAGAACTCATTAGTGCAAAGTGTTTAGGAAGTGTTATTCAACGAAACACCGCTACAATTATTCGGATTATCTAAGTGAAACAAAAATAATTGTATTCGCCCAAATAATAAGACATCATGCAGTGGTAAAAGAAGCCATATTTTTATGTTTTATTACGGGAAACAATAAATGATTTTAAAACGGTAACGAATATTTTTAAATGATCATGGAACGGAACTTAATTTTTATGAAAAGTAGTTACTAATAAAAAGGATATAAAAATACAGTTTTACCGTACAGTAGAAGTGTTTTATTTAACAACATTTGGTGACGTAAAGAGGAGAACGAATATAGTTTTTAAAAAATGTAATTTCCTGAAATCTGCTACTAGACATGCTCGTATGCCAGTAAAAAAAGTTTCGTGCTCTAAAAAAACGCATCGGGTATTACAAAGCGTAGCATAT